TTTTCTTTTCATATCCATGTATCTCGAAGTTGAGATGATCTTTCATATTTATACATCTCAAGGTTGAGATAATCGATTACAAGACTTTTTGACATCGAAAGAACCTTATCAGGTACATATTTAAGGTATAGCTCAATTCTAAGCATACGGTTGTCACCTTATATAAACTTTACATATATTTATATCTATACCTTTGGTACAAGGAGATCACAATTAGCTATAACCTATTGATGTGAAATTTAACAGGTTGGGTTAGTCACAAAAATTCGAAAAAAAAAATTTTAGACTTTGGGCTTAGTCAATGGAATAAATTTAGCTGCCCAATTTTACATCTAATAGTCAAGATTTAATGTGACCTCCACATACTAAATATAATATCTTTATTGTGTACTTATCGTGTGTGTGTGTGCGTGCACGCATATATAGGTGTGTGTGTATGTGTACATGTATATTACATGAAACCCACTATGCAATCCTTATATGCAACGAACATAAAATGTCTGATACAATCAATTTTTCACACAAAACACAAAAAACTGCAACGGCTCTATCATTGTTTTATCAAGAACTGCTACGGCTCCACAAAAATCATTACGGGATAAAACACTATTCATTTTTGACCCATGGCATTTTTAAGACTTTTCCATATAGGATAATCTACGTATAGGTCTCTCTATAAGGCCACATCTGCCATAGCCTAAGTCTGCCTTCCAGCAGCGCAAGGGCCAGAATCTACAAATGGTATTTTTGAGTGGAATATAGCATTGGGCAAATGACAAATGACTAACTTAGTATTTAATATGAATTCTTTCCCCCTTAAGGATTCTCCTTGCTTTTGACTTTTGAGGTGTCTTCTTAGAATTAAAAATTCATTGCCATTAATATATGACGGTATTTTGGTCCTATTTAGAAAACACCAAACCGGCCTTCAACATATTCTTGCTCTAGACAAATATATATATATATATATATTATATTATAATATTAACTAATATTCCTTAAAGAAACAAAGAGTTTGACCTAATGAAAATTTCACTAAATTTCGCCGGAAATTCGGGGATATTAACGTGGATATTATTTGTTGAGCGAAATTAGTGGTTTCCTAAAATTACGCTATCCTAAAATATTGAGTTTCATTGAAATTATAATTTTCAAACGCGTGGTATGCAATGCATTGAACTTGGATCCACAGGAATAAAGTGTTAGGCCATTAAAAAATAACATATTTATAGGATGAGCGTTGCGGAAATGCGGCTATTAAGGTAGATGAGTGGTAAGACAAGAAAAGATAAAACTTATTAAACGAATATGTACTAGGACTTAGATGTGGTTTCAATAGGTGATAAGAGGAAATAAAATAGACTTATGTGTGCTTGTGACCTAATAAGAGGTGAAATTTGGTTCAAGTGGAAGGCTATAAAAAGGCAAAAGAAAGGTTAAAATGGATACGGATGAAAGTAGTAGCAAAAAAACATGTAGATTTACGGTTTTATTAGGATATGACCTCTAATAACCTCTAATATAGCACAACAGTAGAACAAAGTTCATAAACAATCCCAAATAATTAAAATAAAGCTTTGATGACAATGATGATTAATTGAACTTTGAAAAATAATGTTCCAATTGTCAACATCTAAACACAATCTCTCTCTCCAAATGACAAGCATGGAAATCGAGATAAAACAAAAGGAAGCGAGAAAAAGGAAATATACATGCCTTTCTAACTCTAGCATAAATTAAGTTCTCTTTTCCTGGCTGATTAGTACCAAACCAAAGGAAGAAGAGAGAAGGGGAAAATGCATATCCGTCTCTCTTCTTTCGAAAAAGGGCACGTTTAGTATGTGTAAAAATATTTTTGTGAAAGTATTTTCACACAAAAGAACTCCGTTATGTGATTAGTTGTGAGAATTTTTTTACATCAATTGGTCCATCATATTTTTTTCACATTAATCGGCAAAAAAAAAAAAAAACTCCCACACCTAAACATATAGTTTTTTCATAATGAAAATACTTTTACAAAAATATTTTCACGCATAGCAAACATACCCTAAGGGAAAAGGTTTCACAAAAAAAATGTTGTTTCAGGTCAAATTATCACGAATTTGACAATTATGGATATGAAAAAAAAAAAACTTATCACAAATTATTTGGAATTTATATTTCTAAGTGTTTATGAATCTGTCATGCTTCATGCACATGCTTTAAATCAACATGATTTTTAAAGCTTCAAATTCCATAATCAAATAAAAAATTAAATTTGCATCCCAAAAATAATGTATCATATACCAAATTATTTTGGACTATGCAATTTTGAATGTTTATATATCCACTGAGCATCAAATTTGGACCATTGTTAGGGCTTTCAAAGTTATTAATCAAGACAGAAATAGATGTTCAAAATCCTTTCCATGCTATAACTGCATTTTGAAATGAGTCTTTACTTTTTGTCACAAGAGCCCAGGTCAGCAGGCCTTAAATAAACCATCTTAAACACTTAGAGGGAAAAAAGTAAAAGGTGGAAAAAGCAAATAAGTAAAAATGTATTCACGAAGAAAGAGAGAGAGGGAAACTTATAAAAGGATCCGGTTTGTATGCGGCCAATTCCACGTATGTAGAAATGTGGGCCTTTTAATATATCTATTTTTGAGATGGATTTTAAGATTTGATTTTCAAAGATACGTAATCTCTAACCTGAAGATCATGAATATAAAACGATAAAAAAAATTTAAAATTAGAAATAATAATTCGAGTAAAAAAACATTTTGACCGTTAATTTCTATTGTTTTTAGATAAAACACTTACTTACATCCATCTTTAAGATGGACCGCATATGTAGAAATATCCAGCCCGCATCAAACAATTTTAAGTTTTTGGGCATCCTTCCTCTAATATTTTTGATACTATTCTATAAACTTCAATATTGTTTGTTCTTGCTACTATCCCATCTCATAAGGGAAAGCTTTCAATACTTCAACTAATATATAGTAATTATATACTTTTGCTTATCTCATAACTGAATGAACAACCAAGATGGATCTAATTACAATGTCATGCCTCTACACTTTTGAATGACCGGTAGAAATGGATACACTTCTGAATGACCGGTAGAAATGGATTCAATTATAATATCCCGCCTCTACACTGTTTTATTTTTAATGTTTTTTTGTACATGACATTTTGACACTAAATTTCGGACATCTAATCTTCTTTTAAACTAGCAATTGCAAAATATATAAAAAAATAATACTGATAAAATAAAATGATCAAAATATCCAAAAAAAATAGTTTCAAAGGTATTTTAGATATTTTATTTTATTGAAAACATTATTTTCACATTTTTTAGGTGGCCCATTGAAATGATGGGACATACCAAATTTGGAATGATGGGACAAACATACCAAATTTTATATTTATATAATTTGTAGAATAAAAACTAAAAATGAAATACTACGGGTCATGGGATCTAGATTAAACAATACTTATTTGACTTAAATTGAATGATTAGAGGAAGAATCATTGAACTTCTACACAATAGAGGAAGTATAAAAACGTTTCCCAGTAATTAAAAAAAAAAGCACCCATGATTCCCAATGTTTAATTCATGCTCTTTTTCTTGGTTATGCTGGACCGAAAAACGAGTCATGTCCGACACATTGATTTCATAGTGCCGATCAGGCACAAAACACTGCTGAAGCTGGTTGAAGGGGGAGAGGGGGAAAGTGGCAAGAAATAAATAAATAAATAAATAAATAGATGAAGGGGGTAGCAATAATTTTTTTAAGAAAAGATGAGGATCGTAGAGTGAAGGGGTATCAATAATTTTCCTAAAATGAAAAGATGAGCCCCCCATGTCATTCTGATGTGCAGAGGAGAGGGATCCATTAAGGCCCACGGATTTAAGAAGTGGCAAAATTGTGTAGGCTCTGTCAGGCACCTAATCAACGTCAATCTAGAGAGAGAGAAATCGATCTACCAAGGCTTATCAACGTCAATCTAGAGAGAGAAATCGATCCACAAAGGCTTATCAACGTCAATCTAGAGAGAGATCTGCAACAATGGCTGAAAACCCACTTATCTATGAGAAAAAACAACCCACCCCCCATTTGAGAGAGAGAGAGAGAACAGAGAGCTGAAAGCCCACCACCACAAAGTACAAAAACTAGAGAAAGGGAGAGAAGGAACATAAAGCTGAAAACACAGTACCATCTAGTAACAACTACAAATAACATTCCACTGAGAGAGAGAGAGAGAGAGAGAGAGAGAGAGAGCATGCTCTTCTTATTGCAGA